TTTGTGGGTGACAGTTAGTAAAGCTCACGAATGCGGTTGGTCAGGAAGTTTGTTCCACTTCCAGTTGACGTTCGGGAATCCAGCGAAAAGTGAAACCGAGGTGCAACCAACGACGGTGTATATGAAAAGCAAAATGAACAAACAGCATAAATGTATAACAATACACAAGAGAGTGCAAAGCGAAAAACGTGAGAACCTGTTTTCGGGTTTTCAAAAGTATTTGCTCTTTGTTGGTAATTTCAAAACGTTTTGAGCTATTTTGTGTTTTCGTAAACCTTTGGTAAGTGCAGAAAATTTCAACGGCACGTTTTATGTAAAACAGTGAGTGCTCACGAAGTCCGAAAATCGAACGGGAGGTTTGAGTTTCCCACCGCGTCGACCGATAGTAGGGCGAGAAGACGTGCTGTCGGTTGAGTTTGTCGGTTCTGCTGGAGTGGACTGACTCGTATGTTGCGGTGCGAGCTGTGCTGGCAGAGGCTTTGAAGGTGCTTGCTGCACCGAAGTGTCAGACTTGTCGAGGCATGCTGGCCTGCGTCGATGGACGCTGATCGTCTCAGTCCTACCATTGTGGTCAATGGTAAACGTCCTGTCGCTTCTGCGTACGACACGGTACGGACCAGAGTAAGGAGGTTGAAGTGGTCGGCGTACGCTGTCAGTGCAAATGAACACGTCTGTGCAAGTAGTTAGGCGTTCGTCTACGTTGGTACGCAAGCTCTGTGCTCTGGGTTGCACAAGCTGATGCTGTAGCAGTGATGAGATAGGTGAGCTGCGTATTCACCATAATCGGAGGTTTTTGGCGCTTTTGGTGAGACGAGTTCACAAGGTAAGCGTTACGTGCATCCAAAGGCTAGCGACGATGGAGTGGCGTGCAAATCCGCTTTAATCGTGTTTCTTATGCCTAAGGGAACGAGCGGAAGTGCTTCGTGCCAAGATGTGCTAGATTGGGCACAGAGTGAGGCTTTGAGTTGCCGGTGGAACCTTTCTACCTTCCCATTAGCTGCAGGGTGGTATGCGGTGGTTCGATTACGTTGGCAACCAAGAACGTTGAGCAGCTTGCTGAAGGATCCGTCAAAGTGTGCTCCTCTGTTAGTGATGACTATGCTTGGGCAACCGAATTGAGCTACCCAGCGTTCTAGGAAAGCTTGCGCAACTGTCTCAGGTGAGCAGTTGACTATCGGAATCGCCTCTGGCCAACGTGTGAATCGGTCGACAACAGTGAGGAGGCACAAGTTGCATTTGCATGGAGGCAAAGGTCCGAGCAGGTCGAGGTGGACGTGTGCAAAACGAGAGTCAGGAGCGGGAAACACGCCAAATGGGCTTTTGGTTTGTCTGTATACCTTGGCGCGCTGACACTCTAAGCATGCGCGTGCCCAAAGGCGGACATAGCAATTAACGTTGGGCCATAAGAAGCGTTGGGTTACGGGCTTCTGCGAAGCACGTATGCCGGGATGAGACAGGTTGTGTAGAGCGTTGAAAACTAGTCGACGCATTGAAGTAGGAACTACAGGTCGGACAGCAATTTTTAAGACGTCACAAAGAATGGTCCCCTTAGATGAAGCTAGTGTGACTTTGCGTAGTTTCAACGAGGTGTTGCGTCGTAGCTTGTCTAAGTCGGGATCAGTTAGTTGGGCAGCAGCCCTAGTGGCTAGATCAGTGTTGGTGCCGAGCGATAAGCTGATCTGCTGAATGCGTGAAAGCGCATCCGCGACGGGATTGAGAGCACCTGGGACATGTCGTACGTCTGTCATAAAATGAGAAACGTAGTCTAGGTGTCCAGGTTCCCGCGGAGAATATTTGTCTGTTGCGCCATTGGTTGCGTAGATTAAAGGCTTGTGGTCAGTGAAGACTGTAAAATGTCGTCCTTCGAGGTGGTGACGGAAATGTCTGATGTGTGTTCAGATAGTTAACAGTTCCCTACCGAAAATACTGTAACGTGGTTCGGCAGGTTGTAACCGTTTCGGGAAGAAACCTAGAGGTATCCATCGATAGCCGATAAGTTGTTGATGAGCTGCACCGACGGCAGTTTCGGATGCGTCAGTTGTCAGGGAGAGCGGTGCAGATGAGTCTGGATGGGCGAAAAGCACTTGGTTGGAGATAGCGTCTTTGACACTCTCGAAAGACAGACTTGCGTCGTCTGCATAATGAAAAGACCGTTGTTTACTGCTGAGCAAAGGCAGTTAGGGATAAAGCGTCCATAATTGTTAACCAAGCCAAAGAATCAGCGTAACTGTTTGAAGGAATTGGGAGCAGGATAGTCCTTCAGTGCCTGGATTTTGCCTGGCAGAGCTTCGATACCAGAGGCGGATATGCGATAGCCAAGAAAGTCGATTGAGCTATGGCCAAGCTCGCATTTATCGGGGTTGACGGTAACCCCATGCTGTGTTAAGCGTTGGAAGAGAGGGTCCAGGTGATGGAGATGTTTATCGTCAGGAGAACTCGCGATGACAATGTAATCTAGATAAGGCTAAACGCCTTCGAGTCCTCTCGTTACCTCATGAATGAAACGCTGAAAAGTTTTGACAGCGTTACTGAGGCCGAAAGGCATTCTGAGGTACTCGAATAGGCCGACTAGCGCGATTGCTGCTGTTTTAGCAATGTCGTCTGGCGCCACAGGTATCTGATGGGAGGCGCGAACTAGGTCGACTTTGCTTATGATAGATTTACCAGCTAGAGCTGAGGTCAAGTCGTGCATGTGCGGAATAGGGTATTTGTCCGTGAAGGTAACGTCGTTAAATGCCCTGCAGTCACCACAGAGGCGCCAATCACCGGATTTCTTCGGTACCATGTGTAATGGTGATGCCCATGGAGTTTTAGGCGGGCGGATTATTCCCAGTTCGAGCATTGCTTGAATTCCGCCTTAGCAGCTTTGAGCTTGTCGGGTATATTCTGCGCGGGCAAGCCGAAACCGGTGGGCCCTTAGTACA